TAAACGTTACAGTATCAAACAACTCGGAGATACTTTTCCAAATTCCTACTTAGTTGGTGGTGTTTTGTAATGTCATTTTACAAGTTCTTACAAGTTTGTATTTTTCGAAGATATCCATTTCATGATGCCGAAAGTTGATTTAGTGTTGAAGATTGGTTTACGATTTCGTAATTACCTAATTTTCATCAAAAAGTCGTTTGTAGATTTTTCAGATCTTAGGAGCTGCCTAGTTTCCTTAGACGCTTACTAATTTCTTCTTCATTCTTGTAGCTTTCGAGAACATGGTTCTGCTTAAGATTTGTATGCGAAGATAGATAGGATTCTATCACTTATGGACTCACTTTATTAATGTGGGTTCAATATTTTTTAGAATTTATTTGCCTTAAAATACATAAGTATACGAATCATTGAGTATTTTTTTCAAGAAGATCTCTTATAGAAAAGCGTTATTCCTAATATATCTCAATATTTCACCAATGAAATCCAAAACCCCAAATAAAACACTGCCTCTGTCTTATTTTGAGGCAACTCTTAAGTCGGTATTTCCTAAATACGATTTAAAAGCTCTATAAAGAATCCTTAAGAAACACAAAAAGCAAGGATTACATTTGATAATTGTATGCAAATTTGATTTGTTGCAACGAGCCTAAGACAAAAAAGGTAAACAATGCCTTCAGGGCCATAAAAATGCCGCGGGGAATGAAGGTATGGGCGAGATTGTGACACAGCGATATAGTAAGGATTCCGGCACTTGCTCAACTAGTATCACTGATACACATATCAATGTCTCTTTAAGGCAGACGTGTACACACACACGTCCACAGTCGCTATCACTTGCCAACAATGTAGCTGCCACTTGTCCGAAAGCATATTATCCTTTTAGTGCCTTAACGCTTGTAACTGTTAATGTAAACAAAATAGCTGAGCAGATGAAGGACCAAAAACAAAAAAATAAATAAATGAAATTAAGGTGTGGGTATAATGCACACACGCCCGAAGAAAGTCAAAAGATAAACGTTCGTTTGCTTTGAGGATTTTTTTTGCTTGGACCTTTTGGAAAGATATTTTTTTCGTAGCATTTTTGGCAGTTTTTCCACCCTTTCTGCGATTTTCCGCATTTTTTCTTTTAACGGTTAAGCATACAGTTGGACAAACACCAACGCACATACACGCGCTTAGGCATTATCAGCGGTCGCATCCTTTTTCCGTGAAAGGGTCACTGCTATTGCCGTGGGTATCGGCTGTCAGCGCGCTCGGCTCAGTCGCTCACTAGTAGCGAGTTGTAGTTTAAGCATGCTGGTGTAGTTGTTGCTGCTGATGCTGCTGCTGCTGGGCAGGTTGTTCGCCACTTGTTTCGCTTGTTTGTCGGTAATTGTATGCCATTTCCAAAGATTAAGGGATTTACCCGGCATAGCCGCTTTGAATGCCAGCCATGTCCCTGTCGTGCAGTTTTTGTTGTTCTAATTTTTTTTTGGACAGCTGTCCCCCCTCCTCTAAGCAGCGCTTGGAATGCAAAATATGTGTGTATGTATACATGAGTGTGTGTGTGTGTGTGTGTTTGCTCAGCTTACGGAGGTCAGCGCCAACTGCCTTGCTTCTAGGTCTCGGCGATGCAAAGGCGATGTACCCAATGACAACAACAACAAACGCTTGCTACTAAAGCCTTAGTACAAGCAGAAGCAATCTTACATTTTGTTGTTGTTGTTTCTGTTGTTATTGTTTTTATTACAGCTCCGGTATTTTTGAGGAATTTTTAAGTAGCAAATGCTTGTGTTAAATACTTTTATTGAGATGGTAAGCCTTTTTATTAGCCTCGCCTGGCCTCACCGGCTTGCCTTTCCCGTTTTTTTTTTTTTTTTTTTTTTTTTTTTTTTTTTTTTTTTTTTTTTTTTTTTTTTTTTTTTTTTTTTTTTGCGCTGCGCCCTAAATAAATATGCAGTGAAAATATTTATTTAAGGCAGATGACATATTCCTGTGGCCTTTTGCCTTTGCTTGCCACACACATACCCACAATCATAGCAGATAGTGTGGACCGCAGCTCCAGCGCCAGCCGGTTGTTTGGTAAGGTTACAACATAGCGCTACTCTTGTTGCTGTTTTTGTTGTGTTTTTATGTTGTTACGCTGGTAATTAAAGTAAATCACCACACAAAAAGAATATTGTTGTTAGTCCCGTTAACTGCTTGGCGTTTCCCGTTTATTTGCCCATTGTACCTAAGCAGCCCAAGTCCTCTTTTCGCTGAAAGCTTAAGAAAATGTTTTCATTTGAGCTTTTCTTCACTTCGTGTGAATAATTAAATCTTAAATAAATTGCTGCAATTGGCTTAAAGTAAACGTTCGCTTCTGGTCAATTACTGTAATTTATTTTGTTTTCGAAATGGCCGTACACCAATAAAAAAGCTTCCGTTGAAAGGAAGGACGTTAAATAAAATATCGTTTATACTACGTTTTTAAGTTTTTATTATCGAGTAGGTAGAAATTTATTAACTAAATTATTTTTATATTTATAATTATAATTTATATTATATGCTGCTGTGCGACTGCAAAATCCTTCTGTCCTACAGTAGAACAAAGCATGGCCTTGGCAAATTTGAAACGTAGGAGTTCTTACCGAACATTATCCAATAGACATTATGTGGAGGAAGATGAGGTGGAAACATCCTGTCACTATCTTTTGCAATGTCCTGACTTTGTAAAACTGAGTTTGAAACATCGGCAGTTATATCTTCCTCGAAACAGAAGAAATAGCCAAAAGTGACATTAATTTTTTCAACAAATTTGTGATCAGCTTAAAGCTCTCCATTTTTTCTATGAGGGTTATTGGAATCAATTTTATAGGAGTTCTAGGTACTAAAATGTACCGGCGTTTTAAAAATAATTTTGAGATTTCTGTTTTAGAGTAAAAAAGTTAGGGGTCAGATTTATTTTTAGAATACTTAAGCAAAATTATTATTTAATCGTCCCGAGAGCCACGCCCGTATGATTTCCGAAAGGAAAATTATGAACTTTTCGACGAACAAAATTCAACTCAGATGGACCAGTTATTGGCGTGACTTAAGGCATCCACTAGAATCTCAATTGCGTATTCGACGATTTTTACGATGAGTGAAATTTTTCATTAAAGGGTTTTCATTAAATTTTGTGCGCGAAATCAAGCTTCTGTTGCCGAAAGCAACAATCAATACTTGTATGTTGGAAAAGGTTTCGATGATAATTTTTTGTCTCGAGGAAGTGTTTTTAATTGATACAAATTATTCGAAGAGGGTCGAGAACTCGTTGACGACTAACCATGTCTAATATAGGTATCAAACTCGTCAATAAAATAAGGGAATCGGTGCTTGAGAATCGACGACTTACATACAGAGATCGTACTGGCATCGTTGGAATATAGGATCAGTGAAACCTATTTTTAAAGATCATTTGGGCATAAGAAAAGTGAAAAGTGGGTATTGGTTCTATGTTTACGACCCAGAAACAGACGATCACTTTGCCGAATATGGTGGCAAAGATTATGTTACCAGTTTGTGGTGCACTCAGAATAGAAGGAATACTACTTCGGGATATTGGGGCCAAATGGGATTACTTTGAGGGGAACAACTTAGAAGTTGAAGAATAAAGTAAGCATTTTAAAATTATGAAATTTGTTGCGTTAGAATACTGATTTTGGGGTCTTTCGTTAAAAATATAAAGAAATTCCTTAAATACTAAGTAATTGAGATGTTTCTTCGAATAAAAACTTAAAAACGTAGTATCGAGTAGGTAGGTGGGGAATAGAGAAGGAAGAAAGCCTATATGATTTGACCTCTAGTGCATTCATACAGCTTTGTCAAGTTGCATACGAGAGTTGTGAGTAGAAAAAGAGCAATCAATCTACAATCTCGACGCGAAAGATCTTCAACGGCCAACTTGAGTAACAAAGAAACGACTGTAGCTATTACCAGTAAAGTCAAACACACCTTGACTAACTTTAAATGCACTGACAGCGTGGTTAAGTAAAATATTGTCACTCTACTGTCGGAATGAGTGCATATCTCTCTGAGTGGAGCTGAACTTCGCAGTGCATCTCCAGTTACCACGATGGCAGGCAAGTCCGCGTGAAAGACACTGCAGTGGTCTACTAGCCTAAAGCTAGAGTTGATGGATAACTCCCGACATAACTTCCTCCTGCCTTTCCTCTAAACCTCAACTCATCTGTAAATATGCCGCACATCTTTTCCAGAGTCTTTGCTCCGCTCACATTTCACTCAATGGAATGTACGCGGAGAAAGAACCAGGGAAAGGATCCACGATGCAGTGGTTCAGATTGTCAGCGATGCAATTGTAGTATAAAAGAATTTTAGAATTTTGTTTCGAACCCCTCAGGTGTACAATTTTTGGCTTAATTACAGTTTCATAGAGCTTAGCGATAAGGAAAATATTGAGGTTAAGACCGATTTCGTTAATATATGGTGGTATATTCTTGGGATTGTACAGTATTATTTTAATTTTTTCATATTTAATTTTAAGCACAATAAACTGAAGAGCATAAAAGTGTCTCTATGACGTTTTTAAAGCTTTTTATGCATATGTAAATTCATTAATCACTTAACCTCTCTGCATTAGCGGCTGGGATTTGCATAAAGTCCTGTAAACCAAAAATAATATTGACTAAAAAACAGCCACCACTGACGGAAAATGGAGATTTGAGCGCTGCCTCTGGCATAAAAAATGTTAAAAAATATACATATACATATGCGCCCCACCACACATACTCCCACCATATGTGAGAGAGCATGCCTGCCGTTTATACAGACACCCACGTCGCCCGTAGTGTAACGTGTAACGAGCGTTCCATGGCCATAACGACCTCATTAGCATAATAACCGCTAAGCGTAATGGAGGCAAAACACCATTAAATAACACTTTATGACTGTATTTCATTTTATTTTATTATTCGCACGCACTTTTTTCGCTTCTTATTTTGTTAACGTGTGCTCTGCTCTATTATTTGTTATTGTTTCAGCTTTCGGCAGTTCCGCACGCGCTTGGAAATATCGACACCAACTCATATACATCTGTGGCTTTTGTTTTTGCTTTTCGGTAAGTGCTCTTTTTTATTATTCTAACTCTTAAATGTTGGTCTGTTGTTGTTTTTATTTGCATCTTCATGCAAATCTTTTAAATTCTGTAAACAAATGTGTTAAAGTCAATAATGTGCACATGCATATGTATGTACTTATGTGTGTGTGTGTCTCCTATGATGCATGTGTATGTGATTACTTCTGGAGAAGGTTTGCTTCGTTTTATTCCGGGCGCCGGAGTCTTTATTGCTCACATAATCAATCTGCAGCCTCTTTGCTTTAACAGTAAACTTTATGTGCGTATTTAAACACGAGTGGCATTCGCAAAATCTGCCACGAGTGCTTTATTGCACCACTTTTTTACAAAAGTTATTAAGTCATAACAATTTTGGGATTATTATCTACTTATATGCATATATTTTTATTAGTAAGCCAGCTGATATGCTCTTGAGAGATTTTTCAGTAGCAGGGATACAAATAACAAATTGTTATGTGCGTTCTAATGTATATATTTATATACATACATAGTATGGGTTTAATCTTAATTACATAGGACAGTAAACCATCTTCAATACCGGACATTGTAAACTAAATACTATAGGCTCTAAAAATCTTAGTGATTCCCGCATCCTCATTTGCTTATTAGGCGTTTGCTCCCATCTCAAATTGTCATTCCCTCAGTCTACAAGCTCAAATATAGTACTACTTATTTTACGTTTAGAACTAGGCACTCTACTTCAATTTATTGATTTTCAATTTTCAATACATTCAATGATTTTTATTTATGGTCTCAGTAAAGTTGATGTCATCAAAAGACTTTACCACTGAGATCTGAGCTCTAGAGCCACGAGTAGTAGGATGCACAGCATATAATGAATATATCGAAACCAAAATGTAAAACATGTTGCCCAATATCTCACCAATGGACTGATCGTGTGAAATTAACTTAAAATCTTTGTTAAGTCTAGAAGTTTATCGAATAGGATTTATACACAAAGACCGAACTGGGGTGCATACTCAACATCCTTTTGGCTTACATTACAAATTTTTCAGATATTTTTTCAGGCTCCCTTTCAGTTAGATTTGCTCTGCATTGTATTTATTTCCATAATATATGTGTATGTGTGTGTTTGTGCCCATTTTAGAAAGTCATGCCTTTCTAGGTTCCTATTCGACGAGAATAGATTTAACTTTTTAATCGGTTAGTTTGTAGTAAAAGTTATCTTACATAGTAATTCTACACCAGGTGTCCAGTGTTGATAAAGGGTGATTCATTTCGAGATGCCCTACTTTCTTAACGGAACACAGATTATTAAAATTTAGTGAGAAACATTTATTATAAATCGAAAGAACGTTCGTTGGTATTCATTTTTTGAAAATCTCTCTTTTAAATTTCATTTCTTGAGTTAAATTTTTGATGACTCGTTCGAGAATTTTGACGGGTAACTGGCGAAAAACACTCATGCTTGGAGTCAAGGTCTGGATCGAATTGGCATTGTCCGCATAGACTTTAGACTTAACATATCCCCACAGTAAAAGAGTATAACCGTGTGGTATCACACGAATTCGGTGGTCAATCGACCGGCCCAAAACATAAAATTATTTGCTCACCGAAGAGTTTTCTCTCTCTCAAAAAAATCTATTGATTGATGCGATGTGTGGGAAGTGACGCCGCCTTGTTGAAACCAAATGTCGTCGAGATCGCAAGCTTCAATTTCAGGCACCAAATAGTCGGTAATCATGGCGCGATAATGGTCGCCATTAACGGACGTATTATCAGGTTAATAATTTTTGAAGATATATGGACCGATAACTCAACCGGCCGACAAACCACACCAACCCTTTTTTTTTTTATGAAATGGCAGCTCTTGAATCGCTTCTGTACCAGAAGTGATGTTGCTTGGGAAGGTCAAGCGGTTTCAGTGCTTGCACAAGCTGTAGTTTGTTCGTTTTCAATTTAAGATCTAAACGTAAGATGCGCCAAGCCATTTCATACGTTAGTCTCTATACGATCTTCGAGTACACTCTCAGCAACAGCTTCTATATTTTCTTGATGGTGTGCTGCAGTCTAATCGGTCGAATATTATCCAATATTGAATGCTAGGTCTATAGGTGGGTGACGGTGTTGGAAATAGTTAAAAAGGACTATAGAAAAGAGGTATCTCCATAAATTAAACCATGCATTGACCAGTGAGGTAATATTTAGATCAGTGGCGTCGAGTAGAAAATCAATTGAAGACTATCACTCTGGACGAAAAACTAATACCTCTATTTGATGAAGAATAAATCGTATAATCATAAATTCATTGCAATCCTCGTAATTTGCGGTAGTAACAGTGGATGGGCACGACTTGGGTTATTTTGCTATACTCTTGCTAAGACAAGACTCTGCTCGAGGAATAGCCTGATATATTTTTACTCACCAACTCATACATATATACGAGATTTTTTTGTCGAAATAATGCTAAACCAAATAAAAATAGATGTCCGAAGAAGCAATTGCTCTAAGGAGAGAATTGTTATCCTTGTTCTTAAAGAAACTTATTACTTCTGTGATACTTAAAGCATCCAATATTGTGCAAATAACGATTTGGAAAACGCCTTAAAATTTAATTCAAAATTTGAATAAAGCCACACTCACACACCCACACACATAAACGCTCTCCAAAAAGGACACTTTAAATATTTTACCAGCTGTTCGCTGTCGTTCGACTTGATTAGCTCCGCTGTCACATTGCTGTGGTCGCATGCCACAACCACCGTATTGGCAGCGCTAACACACACGCACGTACGCGCATGAGGACAAACGTGCTTGCAACGACGCGCAACAACATAACCACAAAACTTTTCCATTGAATACTTAAATAAGCGGCGGCAACAACAACACAGCAAACAGCGCCAAAAATATGTCCCAAATGTTGACTGAACGCGACCACAAAACGCAGTCGCTTCAGTAGCGCGGCGAATACGGCGACGACCGTGAAGAGTGTCATTGGCACTTGGCTGCTACAACGCCCTGCTCTTTGGGCACAGTTGTCTTATCTGCCCACTCACCATCGAGTTGGGGCTTGCCGGCTTTGGTACCTGAGATGGTGTGGGGGCGGCTCGGGGCAGTCTTGGCAGTCCTAGCTGAGGAAGTTGCTTGCAAATGGACTTATTACGAATCGTTTCTGTATGAACAYTTCACTTGCTTAAACAACCTCCAAGCGCGGCAACGCCACTTTCATATTTTCTCCGTCTCTTTAGTGTTAATACAGATTTCATATTTGCTTTTGTTATTGTATTATGTGTCGCCGTGCTTAAGCGTTTCCTGCGGTGGTCGTTTGCCGTCCAAAGTGTCTTCTGCCACTAGCAACCTGACCAAAACACACCAAGAATTCAACCCCCGCCCCCCGCGCGCTCCGAACACGCTTACCTCACAGCTGCGTCGGGGCGAGTCCCAGCGGTAAAGTAAACGCGTTTGCAACGCAATTCGCATATTTTTGAGCGCCACTTTGCACAGCTGTTTCGCGCCAACAGGCAGGAGGGGGAGAAGATGCTGCCACAGTCACTGTCTACTGCTACTTAATTACGTACGGTAGTCTGTGTGCAACATATTTGCGGTGCCTCACGCCGCTGCTACGTGCCACACTCGCACAGCGGGGTTACTTCACCCCTCTTAATAGATATAGGTTGACTCCACCGGCCCAGCAATGGACACAGCTGTGTGTGTCGTCATCTTAAAGTGACTTTCAATATGCCAACATTAGCGTGTGGCATGCAACAGCGTTCAGGAAAAACGCGGTGGCGACCTTACGATTTTCCAATTTAAATTTTTATGTCTTCACACAAACACGCGCACACGCACGCACATACGGGAATTTATCACACCACCCCACAGCGTACTTGCCACATTTCGGTACAAGAAAAAAATTTCTAATCCACCCAGCTAACGGTAGTTGTGGTGTTGGTAAGTCAATATCTACAAGCAAATCCACTCAGTCGCCGGGGTTAAGCACACTTCGTCTGCGAAAAAATCTCCAATAAAAAGTACAAATTCAATCGGCCAACTTCAGCGTCCACGATTACGCCCCTCAGGTCGCATTGGTCTATGCAGCCAGCGCTTTGTCGCCAGCTGCTTCACTGCGCAAGCTTTTTCAATTCCTTATTGTTCAATTGCGTTTTCTTTATCTGACGTTCTAATGAATGTCATAAATTTATTGTCCGACTACGCCGCCAGCAGTCGAAGTCACAAAACATGCAGCTCGCTGTGGTCCTTAGCCATCTAATACACATAAAATTCCTCAATACAATACAAATCTTATTTCACAATTGGCTTCGTTTGCCTTTGCCGTGATTCTCACACAAGTCCGCTTACAAACAGTTTATTCCGTAAGTCCGAGTCCAAGTGTAGGAGATTAAAACTGACAAGAGCAAAAATATTTTCAATTGATTTGTGATTTCTTTACCTCTTTGTATGCTTCTCTTCTGTTCAACCAAGCTACACTCGGACTTCTTGTAACTGTTGTGTGTTTTCTGAATACCCTGAGGGTTATCTTCGCTAGTAGGTTGTCTCTACAAACTGGCGCATATAAATATTCGACGCAGCAAGTGGCTTTTGGGAAAGGATAGAGAAAATTTGGTGTGCTGTATGATAAGAAAGTAATTTTTGTACTGAAGTTAGATTAGTAAAATCTCTTAAAACTCGCTTCCATATTAATTCATCCATAAAAATTAGCTTTATAGTTGTTTGCTTATAGGTTAATTTGTAAATTAAGCCATCTAAAAAACTTTAACTGAGGTCCCAATAGTGGACGCTTATTTCTAGTAACACGGTTTGAAATTTTCAGCAAAATATTAGTATAACTTTACTTAACGGTCTTATCATCTGAGTTCAGTTTGTCTTTAACCTTTGCGAAGTCACGGAAGTTGTACATCCCAAGGTCGCCATGCGCTTGGTGTTTCCTTTGGAACCTTGAGCTTTCTTGCTTCCGTTGTTCACCCATGGATCTTGAATCAAAGTA